TCATGTAGATCCGTTTCTATCTTAATCAAGGATTGTAAATAAATTATTTTAATTATAGCGACTTTATATCGGAATATCGCAAATACGTGTCTTCTATGAAAACGAAATCGCGATATAAAGTTTTGGAATAATACAGTGTTTTCTTATAAAATGTCAATATTACATTGATATTATTATTGAATATCGTATTACTGTGTGAGTCTTATGTCAATATTTAATTTTAGATTTGTTGTATATTTATAATGTATATAATTTATCAAACAGAAATTACAAGAAATAAATAATATATAAATAATATGTAAATTCAAAACTTAAAAAAATTAATTGTATTTATTTTCATTATGTATTATCATCTTTCTTTTCTACATATAAAAAGAAAACCTTAAATCTGTCCACACGTCTCTGTCACGGCTAGGTAATGAGATATTGAAATAAAATTAAAAATAATGGAATATTCAAGTGTATTAATAATAATACAGGTACAATAGTAGTATTTTCCATCGAAAAGATGTTCTTTGATTCAAAATGTAGTTCTTTATAGATGTACGTATACATTAGAGGTATAGATTTACAGATATAATTTACATTAATAAACTATTATTACTCAAGCTTGTGTTGTTAAAAAATAATATATAAATAACAGCTTGTACTAAATAATACTGTTATATGAACAAAAACAAAATAGAAAAAAAAAAGTGAATACATATAACATGCACCCACACGCACGAACACAACACACATTACATGTGCACAGAGTAAAAAGTCCGAATATAAGATTTATACTTTTAATTAGCAGATATACGATTTTTGATTTACAAATTAAGTTATGATACACGCAACATGTTTTTTGGAATTTTTCTGTGGTGCATATTTTATAATGCAAAAAGGAAATCATTATTATCATATACATACAAAATATTTGGGTCTACATTTTTTCGCAACGTGGTGTTGATATGTAATTTCTGTAAAATATTATTGAAACATGTCTTGCAAATAAATCACTTGTAAAATTAAGATAAATGATTTCTCAGACTATATTTCAACAGACATAGTCTGGAAATTTAGTTTATTTTATTGCTAAGTGATTGCTTCTTATCTTGTATTGTCTTTTTTTTCTCGAAAAAAAAAAATAAAACATATAAAAATCTAATAAAAATTGATATATATTACGCTGTTAACCGATGCCACGTTACGACGTAACAGATAAAAAGCTAATGGAAGAAAATGCGTTAATTCCTTTTTACTTCGTTTGTCTATAGTCTTACATTTTCTACGACCAATACATTGCATTTGATTGTTAATACGCCTTTAGAACTAATAATACGTTATCAAAACAAAACAATACTTTTTTCAAGTACAATTATTGCACAGCTAGTCTTTTCAGTAATTATTTTCCTTTTTCTTATGAAATAATACGAAATAATACACGTATATAGGTATTTACAAACTATGTACAAATAGTGAATAATAAAATTTGACAGTTTTCTAAATTTTTATCACAGAAGAAAAAGCAATAACACACACACACACACACACACACACACACAGACAGACACACGCACACGCACACGCACACGCACACGCACACGCACACGCACACGCACACACACACACACACACACAAAATACATATAATAGTGTTATAATAATTTAAACAAATTTTCTATATTTTGATCGATATAGGCTAATTTTATCAATAGCAAATTATTATCTGCTTTTTCTTTTTCGAAAATATTACATTTTATGAATAAACGTAATCGGCATATGAATAATTTGAAAATAATTGTGAATGAATAAGATGGCGCGTTTTAGATAAATTATTGTTTTATATAAAATAATTTAGGAAACAATAAATTGACCTAGATACAAATTTAAAATTGAACAAATTAGAAGAGAAAGTTCGACAAATCCTGTTTAAAAATAAGTGATTACAAGATGACATTATCGCATCTATTCAGTTTTTTTGTTTCTGGGAAGAAAAGATTACTCTCTTCAATAATAATTTACGCGCCAATTATTATAAAGAAAATTGGAACTTGTGTGAACGGGCACGGTAAAAAAAAATTTTGTCATACTACATTATATTTATGTTGATTTAATCTTTTGTCAGTATTGCGATATATTGCGATATATTTACTCAACTGAAATAGTGAATAAATATGCTTCTTGCTAACAACAGAATATCGATATCAGACATGAGCAATTATTTTTTTTACGATTGTTGATACGATATCTGACATTTATCAGCTATACAAATATCAAAAACGTCAATTTTAAATTTATTACAAATTACTAATTATTACAATAATTAATCAATAATTTGCTCTGTTTAACAAGTAAATTCAATAATTCAAGTAAAGTCGTTATTGTAATTGCTCATTTCTAATCAAAATTGGAACTGTCTATAGGCTTACGAAAGCCAAAGATTATCAGTAAATGTTGAGCATTTCATTCTTACTGTACATACTAAATATTTTTATTAAATTACTGCAACAATAAAATTGGCAAGAACGATTAGCATGGCATTATTTAATTGTTTAATTCCACGATTAATTGTAAATGTATATAACTGCGTAACTAAAAGTCGATGAAAATATTGTATATGATTTGTCGCAATTGCCAATCATCCAATGTCGCAGTAATCACTCGCGCATTTTGTCTATCTCAAACATGTTGAACGACAAGTTAATACTAATATTTCACTCTCATCCGACAATCGACGCAAAATACATATGCGGCGCTATATGTATATAATGTACAATCGACGATTATTGAAGATCGCATTATTTTCGATTCTATATTCGTATGACTAGATTCTAGATCGGTGTTACAAATATCACGCGGGGACTTAAATCGATTCTCATTGTTGCGATTTTTGCTGAAAAAAATCACGGCTAAAAAAACGAAAGATATAAATAAACATACGCTCGAATAAAGGTTCACAATCATCATTATTATCGTTCACCGTTCTGAAAAGTGAATCCTTTCAATCGTTTGTTCTTCATTTATCGCCTGACTGATGAAAGGAAATCAACATTCACGTGTCACTTATATACAGAAACGAGAATTGATGGAGAGAATGATTTCTTCGAAGATAGCATTCTATTGAAAAAATGCAAGGATAGAAATTGAAAATACTGAGAATCTGTTTAATGAGATGATTTGCTCGACGTAATTCTGTTAGTACACATGTCCGAATAGTAACTTTCACAAACGAAAAAAGTCCTTATACATATAATAAGAAGGATAACTATATCTGAAATAATTGGAAGTATGTAACTATCAACTTGATAATCACGACAAAAATTAAAAATAAAATAATGAAAGCATACATACACATTTATATTTGTAGGAACTAAAAGTCACAATGTTGCGCTCAAAACCTATTCGATCGAAAGACAGCGTTAACTGGAACGTAATCTCAATATTATCTATATAAAAATTAAATCTCAAATCAATGGCATTCATGACATATTGCGATATAACTCGTTTTCATGTAACACATTAACGATATTACTATAACTGTTGTGACTTGTTGTTACATCAATTGCATAGCCTAGGCACTTTTCTGTACAGTGAAAGCTGCTGAACGTACAAAGATTTCATTTAAAACAACCCTCGGTTTTTTTAGAAGCTTCGTGCTCAATCATATGTAGAATGTCAGTTTTATAGTGCCGATAAAACGTCGATGCCGCGATAAGATGTTATTAAAACTCAACGGTGGAACAAAGCTTCGTGTAATGGATCACAAAGTGAGAATTTTTGTGACTACAATTGGGTTAAAAGATTGATATCTATTATAATTAAAGTGTAATGCAATAATTAAATTAGCAAAGATTAGATATTCTTTCGACAGGTTACTAAATAACATAATGTAATATTACAATATATCCGCATGCACCATAATCCAGTTTCACTATTGATGCAAGATGCACGCAATGTAATCATTGCTCAACTGAAATTCACAAAGGCAATTTACGAATTAATTAGAAAATCAGTTATATATGGACCGCGGTGTTCTAATAGAATAAATATCGTTTATAATTTAGATATTCATCATTATTACGCATTTTAGTCTTTTATAACTATGATGATGCTGGATACCTAGAGTATATATAACCGTAATGCTAGCCAATTGGAACTTAATCGAAATTAAAATTCAACGTGAATGCATCCCACTTAATTTGTTGTATACACGAGACAACAATAATCGATCGAATAATCTCACATTCGTTTGATCGTAATCTAAAAACGCACGGATCAAGCATAAATTTTTCATCATCATTGATACTGACTAATCAAGTTGAATTGACTAATTTTTAAACTGACCACTCCGTGTGTATCTGTCTTTTCCACTTTTAGTAACATATAATTCTTACACACACTTTATTTTACTTTAGTAATTTTAAAACTAAAATTATAATAAAACACGGCATTATTTAATTTTTCTAAAACAATGAGTTTAATCACACAAAACGACACTTTAACAATAAAATGTATTTAGAATTGTAGATATATAACATTTTGAATTAAAAATTAATAAATAATAAATTAATTTAAATAAATATATATATATAAACTTATTTTTATATCAATATAAATGAGTATTTGTTATAAAAAGAATCATATTTTTATTTTAATTATACTATGTGTGTACACATATATTTTTATGTTATTGATTTTTATGTTACAATGAATTATACTTTTATCGTCATGATATATATATATATACCTATATATATATATATATATATATATATATATATATATATCTAATCACAAAAAGTTCTGTAGTATATTTTGTAAATAGTCAAATCAAATTGTTCTTCAAAAATACAACGAATTTATTGTAAGAATAATCGTAATATAGAAAGAAAAGCTGCAATTCTGTCAGTAAAAACTGCGAGATTCAGATAAAACTGATAAAAAAAAGAGACCATTGAAGATGGAATAGAGCTACATTCTTCCACTTAGAAGAAAAAATATTAAGAAATCTACGGGATTCACCAACTCTTCTGACTCTCTATATCGTGGCTTTTCAAAGTTATATTCGTTTAGATATCTTACAAAGATATTCATAGAAATGGTATGTTTCTTCTCTCGCGACGTGTACAACAAAGTTCAATCGGAATCTCCTTCGCTCCTTCACAGGCACGATTTTATTGATCCTCACGAAGCACGACACACTTTTCATTAGCTACGAAAGCTTACTTAAAAATCTAACTTTGGCAATACGACATAATCTATGTATAATACATGCGTGTTTCGAGCTTTAAGCGTCATATTCACGCGCTTTTATTGTCACCGTGAAAAAAAAACGGTGAGTTTCTTTTTATCCCCTTCGTCTATGTATTTGGCAAAGTAGTAGATATAAGTCTCGACAGAATTTCGTGTGTGTGTGTGTATGTGTATTGTGTGTTGCGTGCGTATGTATAATACGGTTATGTTTAAATTGGCGCACGCGCTCGTTTATATATCTATGCGATACGTATAATGTATCTATGTGACTGTTGTCTACATAGATGCGTATTTTTTGCATTCGTCTAGAACCTTGGAAACGTAGTTTCATCTCAAAGACTGCTGCCAAACTCACTCGATCTTCGTCGATCAATGTGCTTTATATATGTTTCCGAGTATATGCTCTTGGTGCGATCATCGTATCTAAAACAAAATTAAAGCAAAAATCAAGAATTATTTCCTCGGCAAAATCTTCGGCATAAATAAATTTGTTTGTATAGTAATTATTTTATATGACTTTTAACTATAATTGTGAATTATGAATTATTAAGAAAGAATTATTAAGATAATTGGATTTGTCAGCAAATCTTTTTACTAGATTTTGACGTAAATAAAAGCTTAATTTTGTAGGTCACTTATACACGGATGAAATAAAAAATATATTTGCTTATTCCATATTTTTTAAGTAATTCTAATAAAAATAAAATGTAATACTGAAGCAATTATTCCATTTTATTCGATGTACATACATATATATATATATGTATATATTGTAAATTCAAATAAAAAAAATGATATAACTTGGTAAAAAGACTTATGTATATTGTAACGTGTTAGGTTAAAAACATAAATATAATAAAGAAGCTCAATTTTCTTTATCTATTAGTGTTAAAATTAAACTTCTAATCTAGAGAAATGCAAATACACCAGATTTAAAGAAGATAATTTGAAGATAGATTATATTTTCATTATTGTAAGTTTTAATTAAAAGTCAATGAATCATATGTTCATATTTTAATATTACATGCGATGTTCCAAATAGTTTTGATTAGCGTTGAAAACATTTGTTGTATAATGATTCGAAGAGGTAATTATTCCGTTTAGTATCTTTTGATTCTCGTATAGTTGTTAGTTGAATCGTCGCGTTGCGCATCATCGCGGATGCAGCTCGTGTGAGATACGTAGTATATGTAATTGAACAGAATAATAGAGTAATTGGCGCAGGGAATGAAAATGGAGATATATGACGCCATACATCCACGCAGATTAAATTAGATTTAACTTATGAGTTTAATGATCGTTCCTTAGATCTGCAAATACGTAACGCTTTCGTCGTAAATTTCAACTTATACTAAACACGTACATGCTCTGCGTATTTTATTTTTTTATTCTAGTTAATTATTTTTGATGTAGTATATATATATGTATATCTAATATAAGGAAAATAAAAGCAAAAATTTCAAGCAAAGATAAAGATTGTAAAACTAAATGTAATTTATTTCAGTCACATAGAAAGCAGAGTTTGAAACGTTTCGACTTTACAAAGTCATCTTTAGCCGAACAAAATCTCTACATAAAATTAATTTCTGTTCTAAATTATTCAACAAATGAAATAATAATAAGTTACTTAAAGAATTATTTAAAAAATTATAAAAAGTATAGAGCACTTCAAATCAGACACAAACATAAATAACATTACAATAAAGAATATCAAGTTAAAATAGGTTGTCAATATTCTAATAAAACTTCTAATATCATAAAGTCAATTTCATGTCCAATTTAAAGAAAATGAGATAACTAATTCGTCATTGTATATCGTTGTATTATTTTAGCGCTAGATAATATTATAAGACAATAGTTAAGTGGACGTACAAATACAATAAATGATATTGTTACATTCGAATGTCTCTAACATTTTGCATAACTATATATTAAGTGACTGAAATTGATTCAGACACAATTAATGTCAATGACAAAATATTATAAAAATTATTTTTAAGAACTCATATTATAAAGATTACTTTTTTAATACTATGTCTAATACAATATACGCTATTAAGATTACTTTTTTAATACTATGTTCAATACAATATACACTATTATAATATTTCTTCTAGTTATTCCAATTTAGTTAGACAAATAATTTCTCTGCATTCATTTTTAATTAAATATCTAACACCATTTTCAAAGTTAAATACGTTTTTGTTACACTACAGTTTTGTAGTAATATGTATATTGTCAAGATATTGAGAAATATTTTATGTTACAACAATTAAAAAATGGATAGAAATGCATACATGTGATTAAATTGTATTATTAAAGTCAAATTCATTTGAAACTTTATGTACATATATATACGGAAATTAGAAATAAATTTATAATTCTCAAAGGTATGACATATCTTTGCTTTGCTTTGCATAGATTTAAATATGAGAATGATATACATTTTATTCGATTATAACAAAGTCAAGAAGTTATGATTTTATAAATAATAGTAACTAGTTATATTTTAATTAATTTTGAATATGTTTCAAGGGTAATTTTAATATGTATCGAGTCATGTAGGGGTACAAGTAATAAAGTTTCAAAAGAAAAAGATGATACAATGAAGTGCATACCTTAATCTGTCAAGTCAGACCAGTTCGTACCTGAGGGATGGCCGACGAAAATCCAGCGCTTCGAGATCCGATGGTTCTCGTCTACAGAGCGAACAGAAAGCGCACTGCAGGGTATTTTTAAACGCTTCTCGAAAGTCGCGATTAAAATACGCATAGATCAATGGATTTAATGCTGAATTCGTGTACCCAATCCAAAATAGAATCGCAATCACGATGTTGGGACACGGACAAGTCTCGCCGCAAAGTGCTGTAATGACGTACCTAACAATTTAATTAATAATTATTTATCTATAATAAATGTTGAAAACACAAAGACATTAATTAATTTTCAAACTCAAACGTCGAAAACAATGGGAAATGTGAGAACTAACTAATTTATTCAAATGTAATATTTGTTTTGCAAATTTCTGCGAAATTATTTTGTATTTTTAACCTAAAATAATTTCCCACAAAAAAACATAATTTAAATATCACTATTTTATCAAATTGTGTAATTCGTTATTGGTAGACAATTAGAAAAAGAACATTTTATAACAAAAAAAAACAAAAACTAGATATATTTTATTAATAATTAAAAAAAATAACATTTTAAATTTGATTAAATCTCCATAAATTTTTCTAAATTAGAAATGTCTTTTGCTGTAAGTTTGTAAGTAATTTTCAGTAATACAGATGAAAAATAACAAATAATAATAAAAATTGATAAATATAATAGACTTTATTTCTCTGTCTCAGTCTCTCTCAGTCAGTCTGTCTGTCTGTCTGTCTGTCTGTTTGTCTCTCTCTCTCTCTCTCTCTCTCTCTTTCTCTCTCTCGTTCTCTTATTCCTTATTTGCCCTTTACCAGAACACGTGTGCATCAAATTAAAATTTTAAATCCAATTTAAGAGAAAAAATAATTTTTCTTGACATTTTATAAATAGTTGTTCGTAGTCATTTAAAATTTTTTGTTACGTGAACAACAAATTAAATTTGATCTATCAACTTTGATACTCCAATACATGATCAATACACTTTGAGATATATTATGTTATAATGTAGTTAAAAGTTATTCTGTTTTAAAAGTGACTATATAATAAATATTCCCAATTTTTTGATTTTTATAATTGACTTTTATAAAAATAAAACCTACATAAAAAATGTTGCATTTACGATTTTTTATTTGATTTAGATAATTATTTATTTAAACTTATTTCTTTCATAATAATGGATGATTCTATATAAAAAGTTTTATTTATATAAGTTAAGCATTTTGCTAATATTATCAATTGCACATTAATTGTTAAGCAAGTGACTATGATAGATATATATAAAGCTGCCATGTCTGTCAAACTAAGGGAGTAATCCGTTACGATGAAAAATACACCAATAATTAATCGCAATTTCCAGCACATTAGTATATAAAAGATCTGAAATATACACACGTACCAAAGAAAAAATGGCAACCAGCAAAGGATGAAAGTACCCATAATGATACTCAGCGTTCTTGCTGCTTTGTGTTCTCTTTTCATCTTCATCATATGTTTATCTTTTGTGGGTGTGTGTAAATGCTCGATATTGATCTCATTTAAAGTCAGAGTTTTTGACGATCCGGCGCTGTTCAGTTCGCCATTTAAATTATTAAGATCCTTACTTGGTCTGTGACTAAGCAACATAGCATTACCCATTCTGCTGTGCATCTGTTTCTCTTGTTTGTTAGCTTCTTTAAATATAGCAAAGTATGTGACCGCCATGATGGTACACGGTATCCAAAAGGATATGCTTGATGACAGTATAGCATATATTTGGTTGACCTTAAACTCGCAGAGTTCTGGGTGCTTGTGCCTATGCACGCTATTCTCCTCCGTAGTGTCCCAGCCACAGAAGATTGGCACGAAGGAAATGATGGCTGGCGATACCCAACAGGCTAGTAGCATAAACGCCACCACTCTTTTCGTCATGTTGATAGGATATTTGAGTGGCTTGACGATCGCATAATATCGATCCACCGAGATGCACATTAGATGGAGTATCGAGCTAGTGCTAAAGTAGACATCTAAGGAATTCCAGACGTCGCACATGAAATAACCGAAAAGCCATCTACCAGTCACTTGCACGCTAGCGTTGAAAGTCATTGCGAACATCGCCACCAACATATCTGCCAGTGCTAACGAGACCACAAAATAGTTGGTGATGATTCGTAGCTTTCTGTGCCGCATCACGGACACCATCACCAGCAAATTACCGAACAGCGCCGTGGCAATAATCGAACCAAGGATGCAGATCTTGACGATTGCTGAGGGCATGTCTGACCAGTTGATCTCCACGGCGTTCACCTCGGCGGTATTATTGGCATAAGAAGGATTCTCCTCTTCGGTCGAAATGACATCCAGCAGCGATGTCACGTCGAACGAAGAAATCTCCGTCGGATCGAATGCCGTTTCTGCGGTCATGCTCGCACAGTGTTACAATTTTTTCCGTCACTAAGTGTTGATCGTTCTTTTTTTTTATTTTTTCTCCTCCTGTTGGTCGAAGAGTTATAGCAAGATGACTTTAGGTGACAGAAGTTCCGACTAGTTGACCCCGCACTTGACAGACGTTCATCTTCGATTTGAGCATGAGAAAGGCCGCTTTTTCCACGCTTTTTCGGACCTGATTTTGTTAATTGCCAGCGTGTTTTTTAATTGGTGAGATTTCCAAATTCACCAAGTTCACGAAGAGGTTTATTCGAAAGGAACTTGTCTTGCAACAGAACTTTGGCGGTACTGTCATAAATATGCTCTTCAGAATCTGCAAATAAAAAAATCGAAAAACAATCTTAAGAAAATCAAGAAACTTTTTCAATCTATCGCAATGCAAGCGAATTATAAATGTGAGCGTTCCTATACGTTGCGTAAAAAAAATTCTTTCTATCAGGAGATTAATTGCAAGATGCATATATTTAAGTTAAAGTTGGCATAAAATTATAAGACAATAAACATTTTAATTTAAAATATCCGAGAAATATTCTGTTATTTGTAATGCCACAAAATTATTTGATACATTTTTTCTCAATAATTATTATGTCAATCTTCACGTTATTAAGTTGTTAAGTTTATTCTATTTAATGATTATTTTTTATTTTGTTAAATTAATTATTTGATTTTTATACGTAAAAGGTAAAAAATAATACTTGAGGAATTATAAAATCATTCTTTAAATATTCCATTCTGTTAAAAACACTGTAATTGTTCTATATCTAAAGTATACATATATATATGTATATATATATATATATTTATATAACTAATATTACCAACAAATTAAAAAAATAATTTAAAATAATAATACTAATTGTAGGTATCTCGAAGGCTCAGGGAATTAAAAATTTTAAAAAGTAGCAAAAAAGGAGCATTGAGCCAATGCACAGCGTTAGTGCTATTACAATCAAATATATTTATAATAAAAATATAATAATTCTAACAAACCCAAACATTAAACAATCGTCAGGGAATAAAAATACAATAAATTAAACGTTTATGTAATCGCTGTTCAAATGTTCAAAAAACGGTTACTCGCTAAAATGATGGACGTCCGGTTACAATTCGATGCGCCAAGAGTGTATAGCGTTAAATTCGTAAATTTAACGATGAAAAGGAAGAATTTGTCCAAAATTAATCAATTCATTTTTAAAAAAATATACATAGGCTTGATCAGCTAGTATACACACAGAGCGGAAGAAAATATCAGTTTAACAGTTTAAATGAGTGAATTACCCAATTTAAGTGAAATTTTTTTACATACATATGTTTTGTATGAAACAATAAAACAGTACATGCATGCATGCATGCGTTTCTCTCTCTCTCTCTCT